ATAAATAAAATCTTAAAAAAAAAAAAAAAAGAAGACTGCTTTTATAAACAGAAGAAGAGGGTTGTTCTGTTAGTTTTATCACTACACATCCTGTAGCCTTGCACACTTCAGCCCCCACTCAAAATCCCCTCTAATGCTTTATTTGCACAAGGAAGACATTGTGGAGTCAAGGATGGATGAATCAAGACTCTGGGGAAAGGAAAGAAATAGGCCTGAGGACAGCAGGATTAAAGGCAAAGAAAGGTTTCTGTTTGGGAAGGTCTGTTGGCTCAGAGAAAGGTAAGAAAATTTGTCTTGGCTTCCTTGTGAATTGAAGAAGGAAAAAGCAGGGACCCCAAATTCCTGGGGTTCTCGTGAATAATACATCAAAAGCGAAGAGAAAAGGGGAAGGTAAGTCTAAGCGGTAGATCAGAAATGTGGTCCAAGAGGCTCTGTGACACAGGAGATTAAGTGACAAGTCACCATTAGTGGAAGAAGTGATGAGAACTGGCCGAGATGGGTGTATGGTTATGTTTGAGTTCACTCTGCGGAGATGCAGGAAGAGGTAGGGACCCCAGGGGCATCACTGTTTCTGGTTACGTGGTGGTAGCTATGCTTGCAACATGTTAATTCGAGCCCTAGACTCAACAAGGATGAACACTTTTTTTAAGGAAAAAAATGTCAAAATTAAAGTATCATAGTTTTTGAGAAGTTTTTAACTTGGCATCAAAAAATGTGAGTATTCTTGAAAAGCAAAACCTCAAGTGAGAATCAAAAAACTTTCTTTGCACGGTATTTTTTTTTTTTCAATTTGCTTTTCTTCATTTACCATGTGTTACACAACTCCAGAATTATAAAGATTAACTGTGATGTGAGATTTCACCCAGATGAAACCTATCACCTGTCTTCTGAGGTTTGCCGTCTTCTGTGTGACTGAACGCACATGGGAGAATATCTGTACTCTGCTTCCCCAGAATATTCCAGTTAGCCTAGACACTTCTAAATTTCCGTATGGCTAGTCATCCGCCAAGCTCCTAATCCTTAGAATAAAAATGGAGATTGAAATATTCTCCTGTTATTAATAAATGTTTTTCCTTAGACAAACCACCCTTTCAACAGCACCTCCTTATGCATTAGGACATAAAAATACAACTGCTTGTGTTTTCTAGTGGTTTGACATAAATGAAAGCACCACGCTTCGGGCGTTGTAGTCTTTTGGATCCAGAGCCATTTACGCCAGTGTAATGACTTGCAGTATTTTCAGCAAACCAACTAAAACTGTGATAGGAATTCATGCAAATAAGCTTAAATTTTGGCTTCTCTTCAAACACTCCATTTCCATAAATATTTTATGCAGGTTTTCATGAGTCTTTTATTTTTGTTAAAAAAAGTCCAATGCATTAACCTCATTATCACAAGTGCACTATTTCAAATATAAAAGAATGAGTATTACTCACAAACTTGGGGGTGGGAAGTTGTGTATAGTATTATATTTTATTATTCAAATTGTAGCTATCTTATCTGCTGTATTCTGGTACTGTCAATGATAACTCAGAACTGAAAAAGACTTTGTGATTGTAAACGATTTTTACAGAACAAGGTAAATGGGCGTGGGGGAGAGGGGTGCAGAAGGGGAAATCTTAAAGAATATCGATTTCTCTCCAAAGCATGTTTTGAGTTGTATAAAGAGAGCCACTTATTTTTCTCAGAATTTTGCTTTTAATGGATTGGGCCCCTTGCATTTCAGTACTATGGAAAGTATTCCTTTAACTTTTATTTTTAAAAAGATTTATCTTTTAAATATGAAGACAAAACTGAGTATTATAGAAGCAGGTCACTACTTTTGAGTGGTACTTTTGCTTCATGTTGCTTTGTCAAAGAATTCTACCCAATTGATTAAGTGTGAGAATTTGGGGGATGCCTACTTGGAAACTTCCTAGTTAATTATGTTTCTTCTACTATATTGATTTTTACCACGTAATGAAATTCTGTCTAAAGATATTTTTAAAAGACAGAGTAAAACCAAAAAGCCACATCGGACATGAGAGGAAGAATTAACTGGTGTGTGCCTCTGGGCTGGGCTGGTGTATTATGTAAATGATCTGCTTGCAAGCTTATCTCCGTTAAGTGTGGGATGACTGTGTTACCCACCACCGACCACCTTGACACATTCCATTTATATTACATTTTCTTTAGGATTGAAAAAGAACATTGGAGGTTTAAGACCAGCTGCTTCTGTTTAAACCCAACTGTTGCAGAGCTGTAGCCACATAGCTAAGGTCTGATGTCATCTCAAGGCTGGACATGTATATCCTAACTGATCCTAAAAGTATATGCATGCCTCCCCTTCTGTGCATAATTCCCACAACAGACTGTATTTTAGAGATATGCTCAAAGACACTGTAAAGTTAAAATAAAGAAACCCATACCCCCATACCATTTCCCCACATTAAATAATTACTTTGGTCCCCTTTTCTTCTGATATTTTCATGACTCTTAAAAGAATTCAAGGACACACTAAATACTCATGTAAGAATGATAACATTTCTGGTTATACCTACGGAGATGCAGGCTGTCTCGATGTCCTGGACCTATGGTTCTTTCCATCCGTAAATTTCTGTTTCTATATTGGATAAATATGTGTGTATGAAGATAATATATTGATTTAATTAAAAAGCCACAAGGCAAAGCAGAAATATATATAACAGAAGCTGCGGCTTCTAAGTGAAGCTTCATGAGGAAGCAGGGAACTGTGTACATAGTTAACTTATTCACACCTAGATGCATGGGAAAACATACAGACACACATACACAGAGCACAGAGAAAAATGGCGTGCATTACTGGGTAAGATGGCATATGATTCTGCATGCTTAATCATAACAAGCACCAACCACAACAATCCTTCATGAGCATGGCAGCTTGGTTATCTCATGGTTACTGTGGACAATCTTTACAGTGCATCAAAAACATCTAAGTTGGATTTTTTTTTAATGCTAAGTCCAACATGACTGGCACCCTCCACCCCCAGCAGGAGCAGCCAATGGAGATTTACTGACCTGTCTCTGCTTCGGCGAGAGGGGAAGGCAGCGTTGCAGCCAGCCACCGTGCACACATGCATCTCTTTTAAGTGAACATTCCTGTAGTGGAGCTTCACACTGTAGGAGCTTTTGAAACTCTTCTTGCACACGTAACAGATTTTGGGGTCTGGGCTAGAACACAGGTCGCCTTCTGGGGAGAACTTTTGAGGGCTGCCATAATTCAGAGACGATGTAAAACTTTCATGCAGGGCTGCCATGCTGGCCCCCCCACCGTTGTACAGTCCATACTGGCTCATGTAAAACATGTCGTATGTGGGATCTGTGAATTCTTCCTTCACCTTGATGACATCCTGGTGAGAGGACTCACTGTGGTTCTCATCAGGCCTCTCACTGCTCATCAGGACTTTTCCGCTCACTTCACTGTGAATGTGCTCATCCCCTTCCATGGACTCCTCACCTAGTTTGGGCTCGGAAGACTCGGACTCATTCTCATAGTCCCGCTCAGGTTCTTGGTCCTCGGAAGTCATGCTGTCAGCCCTTCTTATTTCGGTCCTTGAAATGCACCGGGTCCTGCTATGTTTAGAAAAGTCCTTCACAGACATGCCTGGACTCATCTCCTCTTGGGAGTGGCAATGATTGTCATGGCTCACGTCGTTGACCACAGCTGCACCATCGTTGGGGTCGTCGTCTTCATCATCGAACTCATCAGCGGTATCAATGATCTCCTTCTCAATCTTCACAGGCATGCTGGACTTCCTGGGCTTCTTCTTGGGTGCCAGGTCGGCACTGGGCTCATGAGTGGCCATCATCACTACTGGTGCTGTGGGCTCAGAGGGTGGTGGGGGGCGCTGCTCTATGGTACCACTGGCTGGAATGATGGGACTGGTCGGGAGGGAGGTTGGAGGACTCACCATTTCCCCCGGAGTGAGTAAACTTCTATAAAATGGAGGAACTGGCTGTACAGTCTTCAGCCCAGAAAACACCAGCTGGCCAGGCAGAGGATTCTGTAAGACGGGGTCTAGTGGGGGAGTGGTAAAACCCATGGGGGGCCGGCCAGGGCTTGTGAGTGTGAGATTTGATTTTGTACTTGCTATGACAGGGGTGGCAGCTCCTGATGTGGCCCGAATTAAATCTTTGTCTCGGTTATTTCGTAGCATGGGCATGTGAAGGCGAGGATTAGGGTTTGCGCTGTGGCGATTCCGGCTTCGGAGGGAGCTAAAGACCATGTTGCAACCTTCGATGGTGCATCGGTGTTTGATCTTCAGGTGAACAGCATTATAATGAATTTTGAGAGTACCTTTGTCATAGAATGTCTTCCCACATGCGTTACAGAACACTCTTCCTTTCCTGGAGGCTGACCCCATCCTTCTCATCCGGTGAATCCGAAATGAGCTTTTTGGGTGTTCAGTTTTGGTCAGATCACTGACTGGGGCAGAATTCTGAATGGGGGATACGCAGGCTGGCTCGGTTTTGGGCTCCACGTTAGTAATGCTGGTCAGGGCATTTCTGTTGGGTGTCTGGTCGTTCTTGTAAGGTGTGGGAGATACTTCAGATTCACTGCTCTCATTGTATTCGTTCTGGGTTGAAAGGCTTGGTTCCCGCAGCCTCAGTCCCGGTTGCTCTAACAGTAACCCATTTGGAGGCAATCCTAGCAGTGGGGCCGAGACTGGGTTTATGTACTGGAATGGAAGCAGAAATGCAAGGCTGTTGGGGATGTTTTCAAAGTGATGAATGCTGGAAGGGTTGCTGTTCTCTAGATGAGCAAGAAGGCTGGGACTCCGGGTGCGATTATTGCTCTCAATGAAAGTCCTTATGTCTGAGTCTGTCTTTGAAGATGGTACAGCTACGGCCTGCCCTTCTTTCTCCTGAATTGCCATCAGCTCCACAATGGACTTGGTTTCTCCAAACCGCAGAAACTGCTGAAGGGTGATGATTTCCTCTTCTCGAGACATGATGGCCCAGCGGTCCAGTACCTTGCCGGCAGCATCCTAGAGGCCACATCAAAGAAACAACAAACATAAACACAAAAACTTATTGACTGTGCAAAATTATTCAATGCAACTGAAGGTGCTCTGCCTGCTCATGAAACCACTGAGAGCTACTGCAGAAAACACGCAAGCACCATTCCTAAAAGTCAACCCACAAAGCAAACTTTTCTGCCATGCAATTGCAGTAATTAGAGTCACAGTTAGAGAAACAGATTTTAGTTTAACGTCAAAGCAAACAAAATGTAGACCACTGGGGCTCTGTGATCTAACATGCCTTCACTACTGCTATTTTAACAATGGTCTATACAGAATGCAACTATTGAGCACATATTAGTATAAGACGTGAACTCTTGCTGTGCAACCCAGTAAAAATGCAAAAAATGGTACCTGAATCCGTATTAAATAGTGACACCATAGGAAGGGATTAAGTACGTTTTGTGCAATTTATCTCTTCGACACAAGCAGACACGATACTGGCTTCAATTCCTTTAAATAGGAGCTATTATACAACTTTCTGAATCAAAATGATGAAGAAAGGAGCTTTGCTGTCTGTGCCATTACTAAACTGTATTCTTCTCTCTTTATCGCCTGTATTTTAGTGTCATTTACTGACAGACAATCTCATAAGGTAGAGTTAAGGAAAAACAGTGATTGTACTTTTCCTGAAAATTGACTGTAATCCTAGGATTCAAAGTTTGAGTTAGACTTTAAGTATTTGACTTTTTATGATCTTGTTATAAGTGACAGTTATAGATATTTAGAAAGTAAACATGTGATGGATTTAGCTAGAATAAATGTGTAAAAATGTTGTCTCTTAACATCCTCCTCCGATAGCAAAGGGAGTCCACAGAGAATACACATCAGTAATCACCAGACTATGTGTTGTTAAATATACATTAAAAAGCATTTCACACTTTCATTTTTGCTAGTAACTATGAGATTTGCCTGGAGGTAGGACTTAAAAATCCTGCACTGTAATGTCAGGCAATCCATTTCAGCATGAGCTGAGAGAAATGTATTCAAATGCTTAAATAATGACTCCATCATTTTCTAGAGCACAGCTTCTTCCTAACCAGGATGGGAACTTTTGCAACCTCTGTGAATAATACTTGCCCCAACCTGCCTATCAATTTAAGAAAGCATAAAATCTTCTTAAAAAAAACAAAATTAGACTTAATTCATTACAAAGAGAAAAACCATAACGTTACAACAGAGAAACCTAGCAGACACCACCTTAACCAAGTAACCAAAGTCAACATCACCAGTGTTAAGCATCATCATGTATCTCCTGATATATACTGAGAAAGGCACGTCATCCTTTTCTTGCCAAAGTATGTATAACCGCAATCTAAATCATGAGAAAACATTAGATAAACCAAAACTGAAGGACATTCTACAAAACAGTGGCTAGTACTCTTCAAAGTGTAAACGTCAGTAAAGATTTTTAAAAAAGGACCAGAGAATGGTTACAGATTGGAGGTGACCAAGAAAATAGGACAAATAAATGTAATGTGAGATTCTAGAGATACCAGACCAGAAAAAGACCCTTTAATGGGAAAACTGGCAAAATTTGAATAAAGTCTCTAGAATAGTGAATAGTATGGTACCGACCTTAATTTCTTAGTTTCATCAACTGTGCTGTGTTTACATAGAATGTGTCATTAGGGGAAGTAGGATAAAGGGAACTATACTATTTCTGCAATGGAAAATTCTGTCTCATAGACTTTTCTATTCAGCTTTGTGATATCAAATTCTCTCTGGACCACAACTGTATGGTCTGAACCAAGACAACTAGTTTGATTGTAAGGAGATACTTATCATTTATTTAAATTACTTTAATTTAATTTAAATTATTTAAATTACTTTACAAAAAAGAAGCTCTAATAGTTATGTGCCATTCCTGGTAAGACTCACTCATTCTATCATTTTACGTAAAGTATACGTGTGGTATGTGCATGTGGGTGTCCATTCCTACAAAAATTTTCCCTCTTTCATCTTGTAGATAACATGAGCCTTCAGATCAAATATCCTCATGCAGCTATCTGCTCAGAATACTTATATAAATATATGTATATATGGTGACTCTGGGTGATGCTGGAATACTGCAACAGCCAGTTTTTAAAAAGTATCACTCAATCGGTCTCCCTTACATGCTTTTTCTGGAATAGGCAAAGCAAGGGGGAGTGTTGGGTGTTGTAGGTAAATAGAGAAATAAATTGTGATTTTGTATAGATTATCTCATTTGAACCCCATAATAGCTTCCAGAGCTCAGCAAACGTGTAACAGATGAGGGGCCAAGGGTGAAGGAAAGGGGGATGGCTGGTTGAGGTTGCCAAGATGCTAACTTGGGGTCTCGGACTCGAATCCAGAAATTCTGACTCTAAGTTCATGGGGTATAATGACTGTTGTCCATAATGTCTTTTCCCAGGTGGGCACACTGAGTCTGTGACAATAAGGAATAGGACTTCTGCACAGGGCTGGTCTCTGGAGCGCTGTAATGTCCTCCTCTACACCATTTTTCTTTTACCATCAAATCCATTCTCTTAATTGTACTTCTATGGAAGCTTTTACTGTGGATCGTTTCTCAGGCTGCAATGCGACCTGAGCAGCACGCAATCATTCCTTCCCAGGTAGCCGGCACCTAAGTCCGCATGTCGATAATGTACTTACACAGCTGGTGGCCTCTGGTATTAAAACAACCCTTAGAAACCATAGCAACTGATCAAACCCACCTGAGGCATCTCCTTTCCATCACCCTCCTATCTTGTCTCCCCCAGCAGAACACAGCAGTCCCATATGGTTTCTCTTTTCTCCTGGCCCGCCACAATGCCTGCCGCTCTTTCTAAAACCACTGCCTTTCAGACCTCTTTTAGTCCTGAGTAGCTGTCTCCGCTAAAATGGAACTGTTAGGTTAAACCACTTACTTCTGGTGGAAGAGGTCCAGGTAAGCAAGATTTAGAACTTTGCTGGTAGCCTGAATCATAAAAGAGAAGCTCCATTTATAGTGGTAAATGGAAACGGCGATTTACAGTTACATAGAAGACAACATCACATCTTTGCAAACAAATGTGCTTGGGAACAGGACAAACACCCACATTACCCACTCAAACTGGGCATCCAGGCAATATGAAGTGTCACAGAAGTTCTTTCCAAAGAAGCCACCTTTCATGTTTGATCAAGGGTATCTACTATCATCATGCTCATAAAGAGAGCAACTGCAGAAAGAAACAAGTTGACTTTCTTATATAACATCATGGGTCTGCAAGCTCAATGCTAGAATGGCTATCGGTTTTAGCACATCCTTGGATAAACTGGTTGAATGGGATTTGGAAGTCACCAAAGGGGAAAAAGGAAGGCCCGGGTTCTTTTTTCCTGAAGATCTCAGTGACAGAGATAAGCATGCTCTGGTGCAGTGATTCTCAAAACAGTGGCTTGGGACTCTTGTGTTAAAGCAAGAATTTCCGAGTGGTCTATATGCTATTCAAAAAAGACCGGTGTCAATTTTTTTTTTTTTTAACCAGTCTGCAAATAATTGAGAGTAATCATTTAGAAGACTTTGAGACAATGTGACAACTGCTAAAACAATGAAAAGTGTGATGATTTCTTTTTTATTAATTTCTTTTTATTTTATTTAAGTATTGGCTTAAAACTTAAGGGGGAGGTGGGGAGGGAGTAACTGGTCCTTCCTAACAGATAATTTGAGAAGTACAGATCTAAAATCTTGGCCCCTGTGCCATGTCAAATAAACTTTACCAGAGTGAATAAGAGCCATAAAAAAAGTTAGGCATTATCACAGAATAAACATTAATAAAACAAAAATTCAGTCTGGTAGACCAGTATGAATGTCCTGACTGTTGACCAACCCATAATGGGACATGGGTCTTGTGCACGAATAATAAACCACAGCAGATTGTGTAACTGGACTCTTGTCCTTCTCATTCCATTTTGTAGTCTGTGAGTCAGTTCCTTAAGGCTTTCCCATTTGTAACCAGAGTTCAGTGACCTTTAAACCTTTACATTGGGAATTGTTATTTACAAAATGAGGATAATAAGATTTACCCTGTTAAGTGAAATGTAAGGTATTATTATATGTATTGATTTCTTGTGAAATAACCAGCTATACTATTAATTAAAAGATGAGTAAGACCAAATAATCCTAACTTATAAACCAGTTTCACTGGGTTCAGAAAAAGTATAAAACACTTAAAATATTTACACGTAAGTATTTTAAATGAAAAGATTTCCTTTTATTATTTTGCTGGAACTGGTGATTATCACTCAAATCTGGCACCTGGTTCTGTATGGCTCTGCAGAGTGCTTTTTAAAAATCTTTTTTGTAGTAGAATCAACTGTCATGGTTTCAGTGGTTTTATTTAAGCCCTTTCTTCATGTTAAAATATAGTATATGACCCATAGTTTTAAGATCAAAGTAAGGTTGGTTGGTTTTTCTTAAGGGAAAGGGACAGTAGAGAAGGGAAGGATGTAAAGAGATGGAAGAGAGACCAGATAAGACACTTTGGGATAATTAGATTGTCAGGTGACCTCAAGCCCACAGACTCCTCAGTCCAAGAAGAAACCCATCTGTGTTCATGGCAGGCTACAACCATGCTACAGTACGGAGGGAAAACAATGTCTTTCTTTCTGTCCACACATGTGAATGAGGGAGGAACAGTGAACACAGCAGAGATCTAGGACTTATTTGCTCTAGCATTATTCAAATTATTAAGAAATAAGCAAATAGCTTTTAACTCTAAAAAAGGCAGAGAACAGTTTAATTTTCTATTCTTATTACATGAACTTCTTGTCAGTCAAATTAAGGCATATATTTTTAAAAATCCTAAAATGATTAGCTAAAAATATTTCCTGTTTGATATAATTTTAAATCTTTTAATTAAATGATACTGAGCTATAGAGAATGCTGACCACCTAGAACAAAATCAGAGGTTTATGAGATACACTTTTTGATTTCATGTCTAGATTTGAAGTGTGCTATCTTAAGA